GTTCAATAAAGAATATTTATCAAGAAATAAGATCTACTTGGGCTTGAGATCCTCCTACCACTATATCTATTAAAAATTACAAGCCTGGACTGCAAGTTTACAATTTATATATATTATTATCGTTTATGCATATTTATTACGCATTATCATATATATCTTGAAATTAAATAATTACCCTGATTTTACTAAAGTAATATTTGAGAAAATCTACTGCATATGCATTAAAAACACATGGTCTATATCTATCTTCAAAATGTGCAAATGGATTTGGAAATATTTCCAAGAATTGTTGCACATTGAAATTTGTAGTGTACTGTTTCACTTGTTCGCTAATCTTTTTTTTATTTAGATATTGCTGTCTAGTTGGATAATCCGGATTTTCCAATTTTGACTGGACAAACAGCTTGAATTCTTCAGGATCATTATATATTTTCTCAGCTATTTGTCTTAAATACTCAGGATCTGCTTCTGGAAATATTCCTAATAAATCAGCATATTGTTCATTAAGGTCGTAAGTAATGGCAGATTTCACTAGTTCCAATGGTTCCTCTTTCTTAACATAGGGATGCTCTGGACCATGATCGAGCAATTGATCAACTAAATGTTGTAGCTGTGTTGCTTCATCTGCTGTTTGCATATTTTCAACACTATTCTGGCACAATTTTTTGACAAAATTAGTATTTACACTTGGAAACATGGGTATTAGTTTGTAGTATAATTTAAGAGCTTTCTCATTTAATACTATTTCTTCGACATTGTTTCTGTCTACTTGCTCCTCACGTGCATTTATTTCTGCACTAGTATGAGGAAACATCTGTTTCTGAAAGAAAAATAATTGATCAGTTTATATAAAGATGAAGTATATAACAAAGGTCTACACCTTTGTTTAAAAAAACGTTAATGGACATTAATAAATTTGTTGCGAGTTTGGAGGGAGTTTACAAAACAAAAATTCACAAATTCAAGAAATGATGAAAACGAAATAGTTTTTAAACCTTAATGCAACGCATCGGAATATTTTGCGACCAGCACGTGTTAAATATTAATCACTCGAACACGATTTGTGACTTTGCGAAGTCGAAGACGTTAGATAGATAGAACAGAAAAACTTTCACGTAAACTTAGTTTTCACGTTCACCAATAACAATGTGCTACCTAACCAATGAAAACGACACGATAACATCAACAAAACGGGGGGAATCCCAGCTATATAGCGAGGAATACAGCTACCCGAGAAAAGTGCCTTAATGAGAAGGCGAATATATATTACGAATACTTTCGGCGACTCTACCTAGAATCTTAGGACAGTGAATAGTGCAATAGTCGCTTTTTCATCATTGTGCCTTATAAACTTGGCACGAGACATGACTATGTCTCTTGATATCTTGCCATAGAATTATAACAAAATAATAAATTTTCGAAATAATAAATATTTTTTATATGCTTAAATTAGCAATAAACTAAAAACATTTATTTCAAAAAATATAAATAATTTAGCTAATTTATAAAAAAATTTGACTAACTTATACACATTTATATGTGTAATTAATATTTACCTGTTCCATATTTTCTTGATTAAACACCTGAAATGTGTTGGCTTCGTCTCCTTTTTGCTCCAAATTATTTTCTTCTATTACCTTTTCACTATTACCTTTTTGTGATAGGTTTAAAATAGGCACGTCTTTTGTTCCGTTCAATTGTGTGGAGTGTAATGTATTATTTGTTAACAAAGATGGTGCACCCATTGAATCAGAGACACATGGCTTAGCAAACATGTTGAAATTTGGAAGGGGCTCGAGCACACTTTTTTGGAACTCAAACCATTCTCCTTTTCTATCCGATAATCTGTTCGGGAAAATGGCTGCATTCCACTTAACAGGATTAACAGATGAATGTGAAAAAGCAATATTCGTATGAGATGCTTCTTTGTCTTTTGCTAAAGTGCGGAATGGATTATATTCATAAAATGGTTTCGGTGTAGAAGTTCTCTGAGTATCTTGAACATTTGCATTTGGAGTATTGGCACATTTGGAGTATATGCATGGTAATTCCTGTTTTCTTTCCATATATTTGAACTTTGGTGGTAATAAAATTGAAGATTGAAATGATGATGATGATGATGATGTTGATGGTCCAGCTACTGCATCCATGTTATCAACATTAAATAAAAGTTCTGTTGGTCTGAGACGTATGAGCTTTGGTCTAGGTATAGGATTATTATAGTTATGTACGTCGGCAACTTCTGTTTCATCTAGCATCGAAACCTTTGTTGCTTGTAACATTGTGTCTTTTAAATCAATTTCTGTTTCATTCAATACAGATTTTTCAGAATCATGCATATGACACATGTTAATATCCTTATTAGATGTATCAAACTCATTTAATTTTTCTTTTCTGAATAATGTCTCTTGTTGGTTATCATTATTATAATTATTAGTATCCTCATTAGGTGCATCTAATTTATCTAACTTTATTTTTTTGAATAGTGGCATGCTTTCTTCACTGCTAGTGGATGCTTTTAATTCATTTAACTTTGCTTCTTGAATTTGTACTGGTGTCATAATTTGTTGGTTAATATTATTACTGAAAACATCCTCAACTACTATCTCTTCCATCATATTACTCTTTGTTTTATTATTTATTGGTAATATAGACTTTCTATTTTCTGATTTTATATCTGTCATTATTTTACTACTTGCACATGCTTTCTCTTCTTTCTTTAAAATTGTTTCTGTATCTGTATCTGTTTTATCTGAAAAATTATGACAATTTCTAAGTTTCATACATCCGTTGTAAGATAAAGTGTTTAGTTGTTTATATTGGATTTTGGGTCTTTCCACTGGTAATAAATCCCACAGTGCAAGTTCAATACGATTTTCTGCAAAATTATTAGTAACAAGTTTATTCAAAATTGTATCGTAAGAATAAGATGCAGGTAGAAGAGAATTAAGTTTTTCTGCTTCCATGTGCAATCTTTTATCGGAAGCATAGCAATCATAGCAATCATTGCAATTATTGCAATCTGATATTTCTTCCAATTCTGGAAATGTGTTTGCTGGATCAAAATCTTTACTACAACCTGGTTGTGGACTTCCAGAAAGTCTGATCCTCTTATGAACAACTTTCTTTATGTATATAACATCATTATCATTTTCTTTCAAACATTTTGCTTGATTATCATTACTAATAATCATAGGTTCATGCAAAGATGATGTATCAGTACATGGTTTCGAAGGAGAATATGAGGGTAAAGTACGTATTAGATTTCCTAGAAGCACATTTTTATCGTTAGCAGGCTGACAAAAGTTTGTATCATTGTTGGAATCTGATGAAATATCAATAATTTCTGCAGTCACATATATACCAGAAGAATTTGGTGTATTAGATTCAGTAACTTTATCAGTAATATCAGTAACATCAGTGACATCAGTAACATCAGTAACATCAGTGACATCAGTAAAATCATGATTATTATCATATGTCACAGATTCAACCTCCATATTAGATGATTCAATTTCATTAAAGAATTGTTCAATAGTGTCGAGTTTAAGATCGGAAGATTTTTTCAGAATGGAATCTGATTTAACCAGTGCCGTGTCATTATTTGTTATCATGTTAAAAATATATTCTGTCTTGTCCATATGACAATTAGAATCATAGCTGGCCAGAAGTTCACATATCACTGTTTCATCAACATCCTGACCTTTGTTAAACAAGCACACTCTTATCTCTTGAGCATCTTTAAGGATGCTATTGCATTTATCCATATTAATTTCTCGTTTGCAAGGTTCAACCTGAACTGACAAACTGAAAAGTAAAAATTTATTATAAATTTTATGAATGTAAATATACACGTGCAAAATTTAATAAAACAAAAATTTATAAAAAGACGAAGAAAAATACGAAATTTACTTGACGTAGGAAATATAACCAGCTGCGCGAATATATGCGAGATCGGGATAATTTTGTTTAAATGTCTTTTTCGACTACACCCAAGCCAACAGATTTCAGACCACACAAAAAATGGCCATATTTACAAACAGCCTGAACTTTGTGTGTACACGTACACTAGGTAACAGTAAGCAAAGTAAAGGCCGAAGCACTTTTACATAAGGCATAAGGGAATCAACCAATCAGAGATCCGCAGAATGAGAAATGAGGATGGGAATGAAGGACTCTAGTTGGTTAATTTCTTATGCGTTATGCCTTACACAAAAGTTCGTGCCTTTAAGGTGTCTTTTCACGCTGACACTCGACGCTCGACGCTCAATTTCAGCATTAGAAAATATCAAGTGACCAAAAACTACTGCAACGGTTGGTCATTTTCAGTCACGTGACGTCTTCTAACGCTGAAGTTAAGCGTTGAGCGAGTAGAGCGTCAGCGTGAAAAGGTACCTTAATGCCATATACTTCCGATTTCGAATTGTTTGGATCAAACGTATCACATCTAGATAATTTATGCTTTATGAAATTAGGTTTGTTTATTTTACTCTGCGCATTTTACTGAACTGTGTATATTATGGATGTGTATATGATGTGCACACTGCCATACTCTACATACGTGATGCATAGCGAACTTGCAATAGATTTTCAGGGCTTGGTGTTTCGCTTCTACATGTCAACGCGTGCGCACGTCATGAACAGTAGAGATGAACCTAAAAGTTTAATCGCTCAATTTCTAGGCTTGCATTGAGGTATTATATTTACCACTCCGTCAAACATAATTAAAAGTTTGTACGTAGAAGGACAGTTAACTCTGAAATGTGGTTCTCTGTCAGCTCGCTCAGTGCACATTCCAATATATATATATATATATATATAAGATCTGTTCTTTGGTAGTTTTCCACCAAGAGACACAAGCGACACAAAAGTATTATTCTCTCTGTTGCTCATTGAATATCGAACAAAGACAGAGTAATACTTGTGTCACTTGTGTCCTTTGCTGGAAAACAACCTTTATAGCTGAACTAGTGCAGCCAGTTCAGCTATAAAGAACAGACCTATTGTTCAGTGGCGCACTTACACTTTCTAGGGTCATTATTTCCCACGTTGGTTAACTTTAACCGAATTCCAATTTGTTGACAAAATTGTCAATATGAATAAAATATCGATAATCAAAGAGATTAAAAATTTGTATCTCCTTTAATGAGTATTTTATTCTTCATGTTAGCAATTCTATTACAAATTGGAACCGTCGTTGTGCCACGTTAACTAACGTTGGAAATAGTGGCTCCTAATGAATTTTCTAAACACTGATAGTAACTCATTTAGTTATTTAGAATTATAACTCGAATAACAAAATGCAGAATTTTCAAATAAAATAAGAAATATTAAAATAAAGATATCAGGTACACGATTGACTGATTATCTTATGCACGAATATTATATTTTGTCTGAACATACCTTCATGTTATCGCAAGCGTCGTTGCAACATCCTACGCGTCTCTCACTAATCGTTATTAAATTGTTTCGCGATAGCAAGGAATTTCATAGTATACAAACGTAACATAAAAAAATTTAACGTATTGCACGAACAGTCGGACAAACCATCTACACAACGTGTTACTTTTTCACAAATTCCATGAAGAAAGAAAACTTGTCGAACCAGTAGATACTTCGTGCATTAGTGGTGCATCAGTGGGGAATAGTACGCGAAGATTGGTCAGACTGTCGGACAGTAAGGACAGAGTGGGGAGTGGCTTTCCGTACGGTAGGTCTTTGTGAGTAAGGAGCATCTATAAAACCGAAAACAAGAGGTGAGAGACGCAGAGTGTCGAAGGATTATCGTAGAGATGTAGATAAGGGTGCGCGAGCCTCTGGTATCCGATTGAAATGACTGCTATTTGTGTGTACGGTACAGGCGTGGTTAAACAAGAGCAAACAACGAGGCTGTTGACTGTGCAGAACGAGAAAGAAAACGAACGCGAGAAAGCATAATGGAAACGTCCAGAAAGGCTGACGCGTAGTAGTGTGAACGTATTATATACATCTACGTGAAACGCGTACGACTTTCGTTTGTTAGACGAAGTTGATCTCTGAGTTCGGATAAAGGTTGCACGATACGCGTTCGAACGAAGAGGTCCACGGCGAGCGGTGTAACAACGCAACAGAGGCCGCCTCGTAGACAAACAACTCGCATCCGCCATCTTAGAATAAAGAGAAGGTTTGTGTCGGCAAGCAAAAAAACGTGCATTCTGTAATTGGAAAGAGTAAGTTAAAGAGAAAGAAGCAGCAGGACGAGGAAAGGGGCACTAAGGTGGCTAACAGTCACCGGATGTGGTCAAATTTGCAAGAAATGCACGTTGGGAGGAGCGCGAGAGAAGAGGAGCTTGAAGCAAGGTAGCATCGCGCTAACAGGTTCCCAGGGTTTCCCCACCGCACTCAATTCCTACGTCTCGTCATCGTTGTCGTCCCCACCACCGCGCTACCCTGGATACTGTGATTATTGCGCAGTTGGAAAAATTTGTTGAGCACGGACGCCGAGGAACGCGGGTTATCGTTTCCGAGAGGCAACCCGCGAACAACTACCGGTAAATAAAATGCATCTCTTTGTTGTATTCGTTTGATTTCAAGTTTTTGCTTCAAATTTTCACAATGTTTGTTTTATTGCACAGAAATGCGAGAAAACTAAAAGCTTTAAAGTTAAGTGCTGCAATAAAGAAACATGTGCGAGAAATATGTCTTGTCAATTTATTATTTTTTTATATATTTTATATATTTATATATATATTTTTTTTACTATATTTTAAATATATATATATATATATATTTTTTTTTTTATGTATTTTTCAATATTTTTATATATATATTTTTTATTTTCTTAAAACATTTGTTAATGACTTTTACTTATCGGGTGGACTTTCGAAAAGCTATCACCTCCGATTTGGCTGATATTGAGCCTGAATACTTATTTTATCTAGTAAATAATATTCCCAAATGGATTTTTGGCGCAAATGCTCCCTCCACCCCCAACCCCCCTCAAAGGTAAAACTGTTTTTGTTAATTATTTGAGAAAGTATTCATTGTACGGAAAAAGTTATCAAACAAAAAATGAAGCTCATAGAAAGCTCTACAAATAAGGTCCTATATATATTTTACCTAACTCCAATATTTTATTCGTTATTATCAAAAAACTTGTAAAAGCCCTCATAGGAAGGGCGGCACTTACTGCATCCACGCGTACACTTTACAATGCGAAGCGAGGTTCCACATGGGTTTACGACTTTCTACGCAAAGCGAGATTCAATCCAGACCCTATGTGTATAGTTTTTTGATGGTGGAGCCCCCCGCAGGGAGACGGAACACACTGCCTCCAGATTTTGAATAATAACGGCTAAAATATTGGAGTTAGGTAAAATATGTATAGGATCTTATTTGTAGAGCATTTTATGAGCTTTATTTTTTGTTTGACAACTTTTTTCGTACAATAAACACTTTCTGAAATAATTAACAAAAACAGTTTTATCTTTGAGGGGAGCTGGGGGCGGAGGGGGCATTTGTGTCAAAAATCCATTTGAGAATATTATTTACTAGATAAAATAAGTATTTGGGCTGAAAATCAGCCAAATCGGAGGTGATAGCTTTTCGGAAGTTTGTCCATATAATATTATTATTTCAAAACATTTTGTTTTTAAAATCAATTTTAATTATATCTTTAATTTACACAAAACTTAACACTTTTTGTGCTTATGAATTTTGTGAATATAAATCAAAATTTTTGGGTTTTATCTTACATAATAAATTAACATCTAAAAATGTATAAAAAAAGAGTATGAATTGTATAAAATAAAAAAAATTTTGATTAGGTTTAATCTTTATTTATTGAAATTGACTTATTTTTATCTTTATTGTTTATGATAGGTATTTTGGATCTTGAAATAAATATATGAGTCATCTTTTTTAAAGTGGTATAAGTCCGTTTTTTAGTTTCAAGATTTTAATGTTTTGCATTTTGTTCTATTTAAAAATATTGTTAAATTTATTTTTTTTTCTAAAAAATTAGACTTTTATTACTTTTAAAGAAACGGCTTGTATGATGCTTTGATGATTTTTTTTTTTTTTTTCGAGTAAAATAATCTTTTATCGTTTTGAACAAAAGAAGTAGCACTTTGATCAATCTATTATAGATGAATATTTATGAAAAATAAAATAAAAATGTAGGAAAAAGATAATCTTGTACAGATTTAAGAAAGGAAGCAAATTTATAGTAAACAATAAGTGAGTTTGTATTGCGTTTTGTATTACAGCCGACGGGTTAGTCGGTCTCATCAGAAGAGTGAGTGGTATACGAGTTGAAGCAGATACTGAAGCGAGGAGAACGAGACGAACATCCGAGCCATGACGAATTCCGCGCCCAAGCTAGACAACGCCAGGGTGGACCGCCAGGCCTCGCCTAAGGTCGGGTACCAGCCAAACTATTATCATCAGCGCTGCAACAGCAAATCGTCGCCGTTTCTTTACAAGAACGGCCGCCATGCAGTTAGGAACACCAAGGACGGCCGACAGAGTTGCAGTCCGTACAGTCCGTCATCCAAGAGCGCGAGGAGTACGCCGCAGCAACCGCAGCAGCAGCCGCAGCAGCAGCCGCAGCAGCAGCAGCAGCAACAGCAGCAGCAGCAGCCGCTGCAGCGCTGCGAGCAGCGCAGTCCGAGCAGCAGCCCGACTAACAACAGCTTCTACGCGGGCGCCAAGTTCTCGGAGACGCCGTCGCCTGCGAGTTTGCCCAAGCCGCCGAGCCGTTGGACGGACACGACGGCAAGATTAATGGGCAGCTGCCGTCAATCGGACAGCGCGAGCGAGTACACTAGACAACTGCGTATAGTGCTGAACGTCCAGGCTTGATACCCGAAATCTAATTCAAAATCAAACAAGACCAGCAGCGTTCGAGAAAGAAGGCGATCGTCAACAGCTCCTAGAGAATCAGGTATGATAGAAAATCGTCGTCGATAAAAAACAAAAATTATCGGCCAAGAGGATAACAAGAATATGTGATGATAAAGATGATAACGATTAACAATGATGACGGTGACACCGTGTGCGGGCCGTACACACGGGTTTTCGGTTTTATCGCGCAAGTGGACACCGTGATCCGTTCTTTACGCTAAGATTACGCATCCAGCATACAGACTCGAAAACTATAGACTATATACACCGCGGGGTGACGATGCGGCGCATCGGTGCGTCCCGATGCCCCGCGATCGATGTGTGCACGCGAGACACATGTTGTATATGTATATATTGCGTTCTGGAACTCCATCACACGCCGTCACTGTGACAAGGATGTAAGTAATATTGTATTTTAGATTATCGTATATCGCTAAAATCTACAGAAGGAACACACAAGGAGAGAGCCCCACATAACACACATATATTATCTGTATTAACATCCAAACACAGACACGTACGAGAGAAAAAAAAAAAGTATACCATTCTCAGTCTGACGAGACGACAAGCGCGGACGAGGCGAAGTTGCACCTCGCGGTTCTTTAAACGATGGGCTTCAATGTCGACGCGTTCTCAAAAAGAGAGAAGCGTCTGCTACTTGTTCGCGACCTTTTTTTTTCTTTTCCAGATCGAAGCCCCGCGTTTCGCGTCGCTCTCGAAATGATCCGGTGTTGTTCCCGTGTTGTACGTGGTTTTATACTTAACCGAGTTCTTCTAATCGTCACAGCAGCAATGACATCGCGGCGCGCGCAATTCGCTGCTCGCAGGAATGCTGGACAAACATCTTATTCGTTTAACAGGCCGCCCGACTAACGATCGTTATTAGTATACTTCTTTATTATTAACAGTTTCTTTTGCGGACTTTATCATTTTTTGGTATTTACGGATTGTAAGAGACACAGCTTCACACGAGAGATTTACTCTCCGAGTAGACCTTTTTAGTTTCTGTTTATTTTTTTCTTTTTCAGTTTTTTTTTTGTTGGGGATATTTTTTATTTTCTGCTATTCTCTGCTACGTAACGAAGTAAGGCACTTAAAGTGTAAGATTTGAGTTTCTTAGCGTGTGTTAGAAGAGTGGGAGTTAATTAAATATGACATAACAAGGAGGATCGAACACGTGGAAAGACGATCTGAATGAGAAATGAGACGCTTTGAATGAATATGCTTTAATTATATGAATGCTTCGGATATATTACGACAATTGTTACAACGTCACGGCAAATTTGCACTTTGATTATATTTTCCATACTTTGCTCTTCGGCATGTTTCAACAAAATCACCGATGAATCGCGTATAACGCAAATTTAAAATTTATTTTTAAAACCGTGAGTGACAAAGGGAGAAGAAGAGTACCGACTGATGCGTTCGTTGCAAACAAAAACGATCGCAAATGCGTCTCTTATTCATAATCAATTCATGACAGATGCAATCTGCTTATTTAGTAATTGTCATTTCGTTGTTGAGAAATTAAAGTGCTAATATATTCCGATGCTTCATTCAAATATCGAGCACGAAGTTTTGAGGGAAAAAAAATGACGACTATGACATTGCAATTATCTGACAGTTCTTGTCAACTGATGCTGGATTAGTAATTGTCTGCCCCTTCTTAGAGTGTAATCATAGTTATAACGGAGAAATAGGACTTGATTAGCAACGGTTGACTAAGGGGTGATATTGCATCCCCGACGGGATGGAAATCCGCAAAAGTAGATAAAAAAAAAGCAGAAAAACGGTTAACGTTTAATCGATGTCGAACACAACCCGTCCTTAAAGAGATGTCAATCCTTTGTGCGCATTTCCGGAAGGTTGTTCTTGTGGATTTAGGAAGCGGGAGCGATGCACCGAGGTTTTCCGTCGTTCACGACACACTTCACGGGCGCAATTGTCATATCAAACTCGCACCACTTCTATCTATATTGGACAGTAAATGGACTTAATCTATAATACGATAACGATAACAATAACATTAAGGCTAAATAATAATAATGCTATAGTAATAAGATAAGGCCTTAACGATATAATAGCGTGGAGAATACGATATCGATTTCATTTCGGTTTCGTCAGTTCAGAATTTTAAAATTCACACATTGTTTTTCTTTATTTTTTTTCTTCCTCCCCCCCTTTTTTTTGTTTTCTCTCGTCGTAAGCAAAATTATTTCAAGCCACAGACTGAACAAAATTATTTGACGTAGTATTTTAATCAATTATTCTTTATTTTTTTCTTCTTTTTTTTTTAAGTTTTCTGATCACTTGCAATATTTTTCTTGCAAACAATTTGTCCATTTTCCTCCTTACGTCAATTCTCTCTTCGGTAGTCTTAGGATGAGCTTTCGGGTGTGAACGAAACGAGAGAAAGTGAACGGGCGAATGAAGGTGCAAGATCAATAGACAGAGAAATAGAAAGAGAATATCAAAATATGCAATATCGATTTTTTCGATTGCTCGCTCCGTATTTATAGTTTTGTAAGATGAAATCTTCAACGGTATCTACAACGGTCGTGCGTTGAGATAACGATTGATTTGATTTGTAACGTCGGAAAAAAATTTTTTGAGAGAAGGTACGTTTCTATACAGAACAGACAACGGGTGCTCGTCGAATGTAAGATCGAATGTGCGCGAGACCTTTTTTTTTCCTTCATGTCGTTCAGCGTCGTGCGCGACGACTTGAGAGAAAATCGATATCTCGGGATACGCGAAGAGAAAGTTGGGACTTGTTTCATCCTTGCCTTCGCGATTCGATTTACATGCGCAAGAGTTACGAATCGCCAACCCAGAGATTATTTTTATACGATCGATACGCACTTTCTATATTCGAAATTCAATTTGCTTAATGAACACATTCGCGCACAGCCGTGCATTTCCGGCCGCTTCTTTCTTGCGGATTTTATCGCGTATGTATAATGAGTTGAAATTGAAGAAAATTCCTTTTTGTTTTATGCAGAATGCATTTCTATCTGACGAGAATTAATAAGGGAAAGTGAAATTGTCGCGTCCAAATTTAATTAATGTGGCGATGCAGGGAGATGAGAATGTAATAATGAAAATGCAATTGATTTGCATTGTGTACTCTTTTTATTTTTCGATTCTCGTCTCATTCTTCTGCAAGTCGGGCAACAACATATGATATGAATATTAATTAACACCTTGGAACTCAAGATGTTATTCTAGTGCTACTTCGTATGTTGTTGCCAAACTTGCATTTGTATCCCGAAATCACATTTGGTAAGTATTGAGTAGTGGCTCCATGTCACCCTCTACTCAAATATCGATTTTTAAGAAGGTGATTTCGGAACGATACAGAAGCCCGAAGTATTCCACATATATTGTGCTTGAAAGAAAATTAGATGAGCAGTTTTATTGAACTTGCTAGATATCGAAATGCCAGATAGCTTGCTAATTTAATATCTGTGGATCTTCGATCGGATCGAATCGAATCGATTTTAATACGTATATTTGTCGCGCAGATTTTTATTTACAACACGAGACAACTCTTTGCACACGTCACGAAAGAATTTAGTTTATATATATATAGCCGTTCTGAATGCTTCTTATAAATTTTCGCTTTGCTTTTCGACGAGGTGAGTTCAACATTGCTCAATTTATTAACGTCTGACTTGATTATTTTAAATGTGTAATATCGATAAATGCCGTGTTTCGAAAACATTTGATTTCTCCGTTTTATATTAATTGTATCCTCTCGCGAATCTGTACACTTTTCGTGAACAATACCTCCTGCGAAAGCCGGCGAATAACCAAGGAGCTTTCGAGCCGATCGCGATAGCTAAGTCAACGCGCGATTAAAAGCAGAGGCATTCGATCTTGGCGGATTCAGGGCCGTAAAATCGTTAGGGTCTCGGAATTCGTAGCAGATGAGGAGACGAATTAAACACTGCCGTCCGGTGAGAGAAAAAGAGAAAAAAAGAGGAAATTAAACGAAGCAGAAACATATATATGTATTTATCGTCACAAAGCGCGCGCGTCAATCAGTCTTACGATACTGAAATAATAATTAATGTAAATATCAGCTGTACCAGCGAAAATTGTAATTTCAATTGTAAATCTGTCTCTGCAAAATTGTATATACGCACACGGTTGACGGTGGCTGCGTTCCTTTTTTTTTTTGTTTTATTTTCCGTCAAAAAAGCGCGTCGCCGTAAATTGAGACGTTCTTGCGAAAGCACGTGTAATCGGGACTTCCAAAAAAGCTCCGTCGTGGGCGCCAGGCTCGATTTTTCTCTTGTTGATTTTACAGTCGGAAAAAAGTCGCGCGGAAAATGAACGAGAGAGACAGATGAGGAGAGGACAAACAGTGGAAAGGGGAGGGAAAGTCCATTGTGACTAACGGGAGATAATCGTTTAATAACGATACGATGATTAATAACAATGAGAAATTAGCTGTGATGATGTGACTCATTACCACTATTAACTTTTAATTGAAAATTATAATCAATACAATACATATATATGTATATATGTGCATATACATGCATTATGTATACATATATATCCGTACGCGTATACGCGATACATATATATATTATACATTAAACGGATATAAAATATACCATATAGAGAAAAACGCAAAGTAACTTAAGTAACGATAAGTATGAGGATAATCATTATTTGTTATTGGATAAAGATACGTCGCGATAAGCGAGCAAACGGGAAGGAGGGCGGAAGACGAAGCGCGTCCACATCTTCTTCTCTCTTGCCCTCGCTCTTTCTCTTCTCCAGAGAAGGAGGGCGCGAATATCCGTATTCTTCACGCTTTAATATAAATAAACGTAAAATCTTGGACGGTTCGATAGTACTATCAATATAAACCGATAGGGACGCGCTCGGGGGGGGGGGGGTGAAATGATGGGCGCGCGATTGAAAATCGGCAAAAAAGGAGCATCCGGGCGCATCCATCGCGGCTTTAAAACGCGATCCGTCGTCGTGACTATAAGATATACACCTACAAATGTAGTTGATAATAATCGCATAGTTCATAAATGTAACGTGCCGACGTGCGGTTGTTGGGTCGTCCCGAAGGATCACTTTCCGAAGGAGCAAGCGATCGTTATCGCCACTGATTGCCATCTAATGGGAGAAAGAGAGAGTATGCATTTTAGCGAGAGACTGCACTTTAAGCGTTTCTATGTGCATCCGGCAATGTTAGAGACTTCCTTTTTCTGCGACGAAAACAGAAAGAAAGACGAACGAGTCTTTAAGAAGTGCCCAGGAATGTAAAGCAGAGTCCTTTCATTCGAAGGACCGGCATACGCGGGACGACCCATTTATCGGTCAACACATTCAATTGTGATATTGTAACGTACAAAATCGCAATAGGCTTCGGGCTTTTAAGCGGGCGGGATTTTTGAAGATTGACGAGCGCGAGGAGAGCGATAGGAGAATCGACCCCATAAGAAAAAAAAGAAGATAATGTTACATCAACAGTGTTCGTGCTACTGAATTGACTTTCGTTGATTCAACAGGAATCTTAATCGAAACACGACATGCTTTTGTTTTTGATTAATGATGTTGAGATAACGAGAGCCATTTCAGTTGAACAAATGTCGCTGGCGCAACGTTACTCTTTTTTTTTTTCCGTATACTTTCAAGACATCATGGACGTCTCGCGTGTTGTTGCATTTGTCGAGATGTGGGAGAATCGGCGAGACCGATCGTGTGTCCGGATATTATGTCCATCGATGCTTACGATGGCTCCGGGATCTGTAGCGTCGTGCGCGATTGAAGTTCACGCTACGTCGTTCGCGAAGCGAGTTATCGGAGCGAGAAGCGAAGCGCGGAAGTGAAGAGCTGCGATAGGTCGCTTTGTTGAACCGAGATAAGTTTGCAATATTTGTTTTTTTTTTTCCATTTTTCATGACAATGATAAGCTAAGAAGCGTCGTTTTATTTACGAGATCAAATCAGATTCCGTCTCAGATGATTCACTCGGTGTGTATTCTAGCGTTTTTATTCTCAATAGCCGTACTTTTCAATGGACATAGGATTTAAGATCACTGTCAATTCGTAACGGACCTAAGAACTTCACTTTCCGAAAATGGAATTTTTATTTCGCAAGCGCGTGAACGCGCGCGTATCTCGTCGTCTTCGCTGTTTCAAGTTTCGTTGATTGTGCATTCTGTCTTTTGCTTACGTCGAGATGAGAAGTGGATGACGATATTTCGAAGGAACATTGATCCTCTTTAAATAGTAGCATAAATATTGAAATTTCATGGTGCTGTTCATAGATTCTTCTCAATATTCTTAAAAATAGCATGGAATTTGATGAAGTCGTCTTGGCATTTCCATGCAGAATCCTTTGTTACGGACTTGATTGTTTTAATTTGAAATTAGGCTTTCGCGTGATTGTTCTTGAAGGAATTCGTTTCTTTTTCAAATCACGAAGTTTCTGGAATAAATTCATTAGTTCTCGATGAACATTCGTGGATGGACAAGAATCCAAAACACGCATATATCTTTTTAACAAATAATAACTACTATCATGTAGGGAAGAATATTAATTCTTTTTTAACGCATTTTTATCTGTATTTAACCGAACATACAATATGCTTTTTAAGGGAAATTTCACAGATGCAAGGACGAACAATTAGTATTCATATTTTTTCACGCAACGCAATCACGTTAAGCCGTAATTTTTTTTTCTAGCTTATTTCGCACCGTTGACAAAAATCTAAAAATATTTTTATGAAAGTAATAAATTCGAGCAGCAGCAGCGCGTATTTTCGTTGATTATCGGAACAAGTTCGGAACGGATTGTCGGATTAATTTTTTTTTTCTTTTTCATTTTTCAAAGTTTTTTCGTTACACGGATATTAAAGATGAAAAGGCATTTTAAACTTTGTAAACCTCTGTCTCGTCGGAGACGATGCGAGCTTTTTGAATACACGAGCGAAGATATTGAAACTCATCGAAGAAAGAGAAACCAACGTGTTCGAACGATTGCCGTGCTTTCCCGCGATCGCGCCTCGAAATTTCCGTCTTTCGAAATGAAGGGAAGCGATTCCCGGGGCGAGAAGCGGCAATCCGTGAGAAATCTGAAACCTTTTCCGTCAGTGTGCAAACTCGCATAAACACGCTCTCGTCTTATCATACCGAGTACCGATCATAACAGGGACACAAACATACAG